TTAAGTTAAAATGAAGCCCTTAAGGTGAGCCCTAATCCAATCTGACTGGTGTCCTGATAAGATGAAAAGACTAAGACCCAGAGAGGCAGGCCAGGGTATAGCAGGCACACAGAGAAAAGGCCATGTGAGGACACACGGACAGAGAAGTGGCCATCCACAAGCCCAGAAGAGAACCCTTAGGAGAACCCACCCCTAAAGATACCTTGATCTTGATTTCTAGCCTCCAGAACCGTGAACAAATAAAGTTCTGCAGTTTAAACCACACTGTCTGTAGTATTCCATTATGCTAGCCCTACAATTGAATAAAGATTTTTGTTTTAGTTTCTTGACACTACTTTAATCCAGCAAATTTTCACTGTACTCCTGCTAGGCGAGAAGCAGAATTCTAGAAGTAGGTGTACAAAATGATAGAACCAGTTCTTGCCTAGATCCTGCTCCTGTTTAGGGGAAAACACCAAGACCACCAAACTCAGATGATGATGATGAATACTATGATAGAAGTAAAACCAAATGCTATAAAAGCCAGAGGAAAATGAAATCATTCTACCTGGGAAGTGGGAGAGACAAGTGATAAGAGAGAGCTTCAATGTAGATTCCGACAGGCACAGAAAAGGGAAGTATCTCGAATGATACAAAAACACAGGCAAAAGCCCAAAGACACCAAAAAGCCTAATGCCCAGGTTCATGCAGGGACCAGTGAGACATCTGGCAAGGCAGGGAGGAGATGCAGAGGTATGGGGTACAGAGAACTGTGTGACAGAACATGTGAAACTGAGGGGGACATCAGTGCCTTTGAAAGGCCAGGCAACAAAGTTTGGACTGTAATTTATAGAAAATGAAGATTAATGAAGATTAATGAAAAATGTAGATTAAGGGCAAGAGAGTACACTGTAGAAGATAATAAAACTTATTTTCTAACTGCCTCTTGAAGATACACACTTCTCACTGTCATCAGCTACTTTCCAAATAACTCCAAGCACTTTATTATCTCTTACCCAGTTAACCCGGATGTGAGGAAGAGGTTGCCACCTGCCCTGATTTCCGAGCTGGGAACTGGAGTGTGTAACAGCTGAGGATCAGCAGCACAACCCAGGGAGTCAAAGAGGCAACTTCGAAGCCTAAGATCCAAGTTCCACAGAACAAAGCCGGGAGCTCCATCCTTGTCACCATGGTGCCACCAGCTCGGCCAAGGACAGCCAGTGCCTTTTGTCAGAGCATGTGTCTACTCAGCAGCCTTTCACCCTCCCTCCACCCTCATCCAACATGACCTTGGATTTCAGTCCTGCAGAGCACGCAAAGCCACAGCTTAGATTATAAAATGAAGAGAACGAAGTTACTCCTTGGCTTTTGAGAACTCCAAGAGCTAGGATCAGGTGATTTCCTGGGAAATTTAGGGACTTTCAACAGAAATTCTTAAAGATAACTTAAAGTTATCTCTGCCTTACACACCAACTTAAGACTCCAACCCCTGCATGAGATGGGCTCTGGTATATTCCTGAAGCAACTGCTCAAGATGTATGCTGACAAACTAATGAACTCTTGTAACTGAGACAGAAAATAAAGCACACATCATAGACAACTTAACAATGACAAAGAAGATCGCTCTGATGACTGAGCGATCCTCAGTCCTCTCTTAACTTTCTTTAGTCCTCTCTTAACTTACAAGTCTCTGCTGAAACAACTTGTTGATAAAGTTAGGCAATAATACAAAATAATATTAAATGTAAATTGTAATTATAATTTACAAATTGAAATGTATATTTCAACTAAAGATAAATTTTTTAAATAAATATGTTAAGCTATTTTAAAAAATAATAATAAAGTTGGGCAAGAAGAAGTAACAGTCAGGTTCTTACTGTGCCAAAAAAAACACCAAACTGGTCCTTGTACCACCCTTCAATCTTCTTGAGATTTACTCTCTTCCCATCTTCTCTACTAAGGTCTCTCCTTGGATGTTTAGAATTTGGGGCTTGGAAGGGATAATAATTAACAAACTGGCAGAGTGAACAGCCTGGTCCTGATAAGAAGCTAATCCTGGAAACAAACTGCGTCATTGGGCCTGTCTCTACAAAATGGGCCAATGAAGTAAAAGAGCAAGTTCCCAGAATTGAAAAGATTGATATTTTAACATGAGCCTGTACAGAGTAAACCACTGAGCCCAAAGTAGGCTCATCCATTTGCACACTTGCCACTGCCTTATTATGGGCAAAATACACTTCTTTCCTTCTTGATTTTGAGTTCAGCCAAGTGATTTGCTATGGGACGCTAGCGGGCACGGTAGAAGCAGAAGCTTGAAACGTGCTTGCATGAGGCCTCTCCACTTGCACCGGGCCCAGACTGCGAGAAGAGCACGCTCCAGACAACTAGCTGGTTAGAAAATGAGACTCCTGTGCAGCCAACCTGGAGCCCACCCACACACGGCCTGGATCCCAACCTAGCCGAATCGACTTGAGCAGCTGACCCCAGCCAATCTGCACTAGCGTAAGAAAAATAAACGTTGTTTTAGGCCACTGGGTTGGAGTGGGTTCTATACAGCAGCATTGGAACAACAGCTGACTGAGGGGTCAGATGGCAGAAACACGGAAACGGATTACACAGACCACACAGATACAAACTCACCCAGCATAACAGTCTCTTTCCTCACCAACTTCCAAAGAATGTTTTCAAAAGCATTTGAGTAGCCCTCTTAGCCACCTTAGCCCTTAGCCTTCCAGTGAGAGATGGAGAAAGCCTTCATCAAATGCGAGCAGAAAACAGCTATGGGTTGAAAGCACAAACACCAGCAGAGAAATCTAACATGGGCTTGCAAGGTCAAAAGAAAGGAATAACTTGAAATACCATTAGCCTTTCTCATAACCTTTGTCACCTAGCACATATCACATTTCCATGTTTCTCATATGAAAATATAAAAAAATAAAAATAATAAGGTTTATGAGAAATAGAATTGGAATAGAAGAATCCTAGCTTCAGGGCCCAGAATTACCGTATGAAAAGAGAAAAGGTGGAGGGGTTCAGCACAGTGGCACTCAGTGTGCAGGTCTCTGCGGAAACGCCACAGCGCACCTGCCGCCGTGACAAGGAGAGGCACCAAGCAGAGGCGGCGAGGCTGGGGTCCCCCAGCGCACTGCCACGGAGCCTCCTGTGCTAGCAGGCACTGTGTACACTAATGACTTTCAAATAGCTATCTGAGTTCTCTGTTCCTTAAATAGAGCAGATTTAAGCCCTCTCTCTTTGGCAAATTTACTCAGGAAAGTGAACATTGTGTCATGAAAGGTCAAACAACTTGGCTTCATAAGCCTGGGGCCACAGCACCACGTGGTACAGCTGATACAACTTTAAAAAAATGAAAAAAGTCACTCTGGTGGGCTTATTCCACACCTGACTATCCTAAAACGCAAGTCAGGTCTTTGTTCAGTAACCTGCACAAAAATCTCTCAACCAAGGAAATGCTGAGGAAGTACCACAAAGTAATACATTATCATCATAATCGGGAGGACAGAAAAGAAAGTCTAGGGCCCACACAATCCACAGCACAACCTCTGACTTCATGAGCAGTCTTTTTAACCCTCAGAGCAGACTGAGCTACCAAAATGGTACAACAAGCATAATTGGTAGGAACAAAATAGAGAAGCCAGAGAACTTACATGCACAACCCACGGACAGACGTGAACTAAGCCGGGGGTGGGGCAGGGGGAGACATTGCCGGAGGCTAAGGGGGTTACCAGATGGAGGGGAGCAAAGGGAAAAAATTGGGATAACTGTAACAACATAATCAATAAAGTATACTTTAAAAAATAGGGCTTTGCATAACACGACACTGACCACACTCCCCAAGAGAGTGGGCGGAAGCAGAGCACAACAGCTAAGCCAGGCCTTCAATAGTTTAACCCCCTAAATGGTAACTGGGTGCCCCATTTGCATGTGAAGGGGATCCGGATTAGGGTTTCTGCTCAAATTAGAGATGCAGCTAAACCTCATCTACCAGCCTTGTCCATATTAGAGGGGGATTTTAATCCGTTTACCTCGCCAAACCTCACAAACAAGCCTGGGATTCAACAGCCTGTGATCAGTCTCTCATGCATCAACTCAGACAGACTCTATCAAAGTAGAAAACTAAATTCTGAATCTCGAATCTGGTGCTGCTGTCCCTCAACAGATGACACAGGTTTCTGATCAACTCAGCAATAAATGGGAACACAAAGAAAGGTGTATTTTGAAGTGCAGAGTAGGATAAGTTGTGTCCTTTCACAACAAGTCTGCCCAAAATGCAGACCACCAGTGCCTAGCCCTTGACATACTGAAAAAATTCCAATAAGAAATTACCAGTTTAGCCCTGGCTGGTGTAGCTCAGTGGATTGAGCATGGGCCTGCGAACCGAAAGATTGCAGTTCGATTCCCCATCAGGGCACATGCGTGGGTTGCAGGCCAGTTCCCAGCAGGGGCCAGTTCCCAGCAGGGGATGCACTAGAAGCAACCATACATTGAGGTTTCTCTCCCTCTCTCCTTCCCTTCCCTTCTAAAGATAAATAAATAAAATTTTTTAAAAAGAAATTAACCACTTTAGAAATATCTGAAATCTAGTCACACTATGCACACATATTTTACAACACTGCCATGGGAAGTTTTTTCTTTTCCATTTAACATAATCACTTAACACTAAGTTTAACAAAAGCAGAAAGGCAAAGAAAGTACATTTCCTTGAATATTAAGTGGAATTTAATATGTGCTGAGTCAAAAATGGAAAAACTCCAGGTGACAGCCAACCCCTAGGTATCAACACCACCTCTGTGTGTTAAAACACACATAGCTTTAATATCTAAGAGCTCTCTTTCCCATTTCCTAAAAATCAAACCAGAACCCCAGTACCCCAGGAGTCCTAGTCAGCTCCATGACCTCACCTTAAGCAAGGCACACAATAGCCATATTTGAAGGATAAATAAAAAGTTTCACCTATTTAAACCAGCAAAATAAAATGAAAACAACCTTTTTGTAGTCCTTACTTTCAAAATATTTTGGGTTTCATTCCATTTATTTGTCCATTCTTTGGTCAATTCTTGAACCTAAAAGGAAAAAGACACATTTGTGATTGTTCCATAAAAATATTATTGTGATTTTCTCCTAGGGAGTTTCTAAATCTTACAGCTTTATGAAACAATGTACTACAATTTTTTAAATAGATAGACAACTATGCCTGAAAAAACCATCGCCAAATATAAATCAAACAGCTGATCTCACCCCACCTCCTACATTATGGCAAAGGCAAGAACAGAAAACAGTGTGTCAAGTTGCCTAGATTTTTGCATCTTTTTCATGGTATATTTAAATAAAAGCTGCTCCCTTGGATATTAACCAAAATTACAAGTTCAAGAATGACAATGTCCTGTTAAGTGTATTAATTTTCCTGATTCTACTCTAGTTCCTAAAAAATAATTATTTATTTTTCTTTCTCATTACATATGTAATTAAATCACCTAGAATGCTGCAATTTTCTTTAAGGAGATAATCTGCTTTTGTAGCTAATTAATAAGGCTTATAAATCTCATTCTATCTTTAAAAGGTAAGGGGACTCTTTGACTCCCTTAGTAAAAGCAAAATCTTTTGATACAAATCGGCTTCTTTCCAGTCTGCTGAACTTAGGGGAGAAAATGTCCCCAGCTGTTGAGCATAGTACAACTGGAAGTTACATCTCGAAGTTAATAAAAACATCCTGCTACTTCCATAAATCTTTTAAAACAATCCTAGTGAGTAATTCATTAAAAAGCAAAAAGTGATTCCTTCGAAGAAGTAGAAAAAAATGAATGAAAGCTGTATCTACGAAAGAGTATATATACCATGGCTACAAGAGAGACTCGTGAGAGGCAAAGTGGGGGCGCACATGCTCCCCAAGCCTTTTCCCCTCTTGACGCTAGCTCTCCCACCACTTCCCCACCCCCAGGAGCGGACCCTGCCCCACGGACACTTACTGGTCTTCCCTCTGATAAGCCATCTTACTGAGCCAGGACAAAATGAACACATGGAGTACCTGTGTTAGTACTCTCACTGCCTAAAGGAAGATACTTGCCCCACTTAGTATTAAGTATAGTAAAGGGTTAGGGCACTCACTCTGCAACCTTCCTGAAAGTGTTTGTACCTGACAAGAAATGGAGGAACTGGACTGACCATTCATCCCAGAGGAACACCAAATTTCTCTCACTTAAACTGAATGGGTCATTTTCTTTTATTCCCCATTTCCCTCTAATAGGACTGTACAACTTCTAAGCCAAAATAATGCCTTTTCTTTTTTATGAGTAATGTCAAAAATCTCTCATCTTTCTTATTAAAAAAAAAAAAACACCACCACCATGGCTGAGCCTCTCTAACTGTTTTTGCTTGTTTTTAATGGTTTGGTAAGATTGGCCTGATCAACCTGGAACCAGCCATACACTCCAGTCTTTCAGCTCTTAAGTGAGGCCAACCCCACGCACTGCAAGGACAGCAGGAAATGCCACATGGCTCTCCAGGCTTTTATTTTGGAAAAGCTTCCAAAGAGGAAATATTCTTATACCTTCTCTTCCTACAAAAGGGGAGAGATTGGTGTGTTGAATTTACTAATTCATAGTAATCAGTTAACAGATTCTCATAAGCAATTTATATGAGAAACACAAAGTATTCAACAGTAAATGTTTCTGTGTTCACTAACACATATGTTCTCCCTGAATAACATAAGCCAGTCAATCCTTTTCCAATTCAATCAAATAAGTCCAGCTTTAACCAAACTGTAATTATGCCTTGGGTTTATTTTACTGTTGAATTTAAAGCAAATAATCTTAATTTATAAAATCAAGAACAATGCAAATACTTTCCACTAACAATGTGATCAGATAATAAAAATTTATAGCCAACAAGTGGCAAACAATTTTCAAAGGTCAACAAAAAATTGGTGAAAATTCAGAAAATGTTATGAACAAGACAGGCAGTCATTTCTGTCACAGCATGTACCATGAATTCAAATTAAAATGCTTATTGATTTCTATTAACTTACTAGGTATGCCTGAAAACTATTATTAAGAAATAATTTAAGACTATATCTAAACATCTCAAAGCACTCAAAATTAGAATCTGAAGTACTAAATGTAAATTTCATGAGAAAAATAGGAATTAAGAAACTAATATTTTTACTAATGCAACTAACATCAAATTATCCAACATAATTATCCAGGGAAGTGTCAACAAGTCCCTAACACAACTCAATTTACATTTGCAATATCGTGTATGTTTGAAAGGGCTTCACCAATAAAATACAGGGGGGTTTTTTCAGTCTGTTTTAACCATTCAGCACAGTGAACATAATCCTACCCCAAAATATTCTTAATGCCCACTTATCTCTTCAAACAGAGTTACTGAAAAAAAAATACTGTAGAGCCAGGTCAGCCATGAAGCCGGTTTTCAAAAAGCACCAGCACACAAACACTGGCTTCGGCCCACAGCGGCTCCAAAGGCAGACTCTCCTTGTGGTCACTCTGCTGCCACTCGCTCCCCCAACCTCAAATCTCATCTACCAAGAGTGTTCCACAATCCCCAAGTGCTGCACTCCCCCCGGAAAGCAGAGGAAAAGAATGACAAAAACTCAATGGTGAGCATGCTTAGCTATGGTTAAGCTCTGGGGACCACTCCGGTTTCAGGAATGTGGAACACAGCTGACTTCGACCCAGGACTCCTGTCTACTCTGACGCCGGAGAGGCCTGTTTCATCAGCACCAGCTTTCATCAGCAAGTGGATTTCAACTGCACTTGATCGTCATGTGCCAGACAGGCCCCATTTATTCAGTCATAGATTGTGATGAGATACATAAAAAGTCAGTTATTGTGGTTCTTTAAAAATTATCAGAGGTGGGGGCAAGGAAGGAAGTGTTAAGAGTAATGAAAAAAGTAAATGAGTCTCAAATGGCAAGAACTAAAAAGCATATAGTTAAAATAATAGTGAAAGTTATGATTTTAAAATAACAAGGAACCAAGCTATCACTTACTCTTGCTTCATTCTGCTGAAGTTTTTCCTCCATACTTAAGGCTGTGGGCGAGTCTAAAAGGGCGATCTATAATTTAAATCATAAAAGAGACGCAATTAGTAAACAGCAATAACCTAGAGGAAGGATTGCTCCATGACACAGTAAATTACCAAAAGCTGTCAAGTAAACTGTTAAATACAGGTTTCACACCCCTAAAAAGTGTCAGTCACTCCACTAAGTCTTTACTCCATGGGCTACATATCTCATAATATTCAAAACCAAATGTGAGAAATGTTGCATTTCTCACAATGCAAACCAGCAAAGTGAGAAAAAGATAAATGTAATACAACTGACATTTATTTTATAAAAATCTAGCATGATCTACATATCTAGATCCTAAAGGACTGGTCCGTTTTGAATGTGCACAAACTGCAAAATTCAAAATGTGAAAACCTTAAGTCTTGCCCAATCACAGGCTTCAGAAATCCATCCATACTGACACATGTGAAGAAAAGTCATGTATTTGCATTGCTGGGTGATAGTCTATCTGTGGTATAGCTACACCACAATCTATTTATCCATTTCCTTATCCATGTTACAAAGGTATAATGATTGACATAGAATGATGAACACTAAAATCAGGTTAGAACTCGGAGGGACAAGCAGATAGAGACAAGAGTGGCGTGTGGATGCAGGCAGGGGGCAGAGGGGCTTTGACTGACAGGCAGGACACAGCGACCTTTCTGATTCCATAAGAAAAACAAAAGGGAGTCTTGCTCCAGCCCATCCCACAGGCAACCACCTTTATCCAATTTGCTATGTAAACTTGCAATTATTCTCATCATATATAAGCATGTTTTTGTTGTTTTTTAAACATAAACAACATGAACACTATTCTAAATATTGCCTTTTCACTAAACAACATATCTTGGGGGAAATTCAGTACAAATAAAACTGCTTCATTTTTTTGAAAATTCCAATTCCACTTAGAGTGGAATTGTATGGATAGTCTCTAATTTATATCAGTGCTTTCCTTTCAATGGAAATACAGCCTTTTCTAATCTTCTGCTCTACCAGCAACGCTACAATGACTATTCCTATATTAGTTGCCTACACTACACATGGTTGTGTCAACAGAATAATTTCCTAGGAGGAAATTTGTGAATCATCTATATGCATGATTTTTTAATAGCTAAGTTGCCCTGCCCAGAGGCTGAGCATGTTTTTCATTACTATGTACTTCTCAATTTCTACTCAAACAAATATAATACCCATGAGGTGGTCTTATTAGGCTCAGTTAAACTTCCAGACTAACAAGACTACAAGGGCCACACTTGACATCTGTCTGCTCAGCAAACTGCAGAGCTACAGCAGGGAAGGATGGTGTGCTCTCCACAGCAGTCCTCACAGCTCTCCAGGAGTATTCCCTCTGCCTTCTTCAGGGGTGGAGGTTCACACAGGCATTTGTGGGGCCCACCTCGACTTACAGTCCCATGCCCATGGGAACCAACATCTCTTATAATAATGTCCCAGGTACATCCTTCAGGATCCCCGCAAGGACACACCTATTACAAGATTCGCTGCACTCAGGGAAACCCAAAACTGTGGCTTCACAGCAGCACATTTATAGCTTATACAGAATTCATCCTAATCCAGATGCCATTCACCAATTAGAGGGTAATTTTATTATTAGAAATGTTGCTTGGTTATACAGCTGACATCTCATTGTTATCCAGTTTATAGAGAATAAAACCAGCAAGTTAACTCATGATCAAATTCATCCCTAGTAGAAGAAAAGGAGCTTTATTAACATATTAGTTCAATACATCACTGTGCCTAGCATGTCATCTTACACATAAATGGTACTCAATAAATATTTTTCACTGAAGAAATGCAAGTGGTAGGTATTACAATGACCACATCATTATATATGATTGCAACTTTCAAAACAATTAGCAACCCCCCGATATTTCTAGTATTCATCTGCCACTGTACGTAGTTATTGCAATATTACTGACTATATTCCCTGGGCTCTACTTCACATCCCCGTGACTATTTTGTAACTACCAATTTGTAGCTCTTAATCCCTTCACCTTTTTCATCCACCTCTCCCAACCCCATCTTCTCTGGTAAACCACCAGTTTGTTCTCTATACCTATGAATCTGATTCTGTTTCAATTGTTTATCTCGCTCTTTACATTCCACATAAATGTGAAATCATATGGTATTTTTCTCTGACTTCTTTCACTTAGCTTAATACCCTCTAAGTCCATCCATACTGTCACAAATGGTAAATTCTCATTCTTCTTTATGAACATTCCATATTCCACTGTATACATGTACCACAACTTTTTTATCCACTCGTCTATTGCGCTGCTTCCATATATTGGCCACTGTAAATAACTCTGCAATAAACATAGGGGTGCAAGTATTCTTTGGCATTAGTGTTTCTTGTTGCCTTGTATATATAACCAGAAGTGGGACTGCTGGGTCATACGGCAGTTCCATTTTTAATTCTTTGAAGAACCTCCATTCTATTTTCCTCAGTAGCTAAACCAATCTGCACCAACACTTATTGTTACCAACACTTGCTGTTTGTTGATTTATTGATGTTAGCCATTCTGACAGGTGTGAGGTGGTATCTCATTGAGGTTTTAATCTGAATTTCTCAGATAGTTTTTGAGCATTTTTATATGTCTACTGGCCACCTACATGTCCTCTTCGGAGAAACATCTATTTCCTGCAGTTCTGTTGTTCTTTTTACTTTATGAAAGCTGACGTCGTATCGGATTTTTATTGGGAATTGCACTCTTTGTTGTGATAAAGTGCTTATATTAGGCTCAAATAATGCTGTCTTTGCACTGCTTTCTTTCCCTTTGAATTAGCAGGCAGACTTCTGCCTATCCTTACAAACATTGTATCACTGAGCTTTCTTGTGTGACCCTCTCTAAGAGTTGTCTAGTTGTCTACCTTAAAAGTTTACACATAGTGGTATTTCTATTATCTAGTATTTAAAGTTTATCTGTGACTCAAGCTATAAAAGTGAGGAATTCATCCTGCTTCCATGCTCTCTCATTGTGTTCTTCACTTTCTGACTTTTGTTGCTCATTTCCTTTCCATAATGTTTAATTTTCTTATTATCTCCAGATATATTCAAGAAAAAGTAAAGCGACATTTTCTCTCAGCCAAATTCAAAGCAGAAGTCTGAAAATACGTTTTAAATATACTAAAAGAGAACACCCGAAAAAACTAGATAGCCAGCCCTGTCAGGTGTGGCTCAGCTGATTAGGGCATCATCCCACAGACAGAAAGGTTTCCGGTTCAATTCCCAGTCAGGGCATGTACCCAGGTTGCAGGTTCAATCCCTGCCTAGGGCACATGCAAGAGTCAACCAACTGATGTCTGTTTGTCTGTCTGTTTCTCTCTAAAAGCAATGAAAAAAATGTCTGCAGGTGAGGATTTTAAAAAACACACAATATCCCAATGCTCGATTTCATTAACCATCTGAGAAGTACAAGCTAAATCATTCAGTGACATCACTATTCATCCATCAGAATGGTTACAGTAAAAAGTGGACAATGTCCAGTGTTAACACCTACAGGGACTATAACTGGCCCTTTCATATACTGATGGTGGAGGATAAATTGGTATAACCACTTTTAAAAATTGTTTGACAATATCTACTGAAACTGGACATATGTACACCTTCTAACCCACCAATTCCACTCTTAGGTATAAACCTAACAGAAATGCACCTGCAAGTTCACTAAAAGAGAGAAGAAAATCCACAACAGCACTAATAGCACCAGAAAAGAAACTCCCAAATGCCCGTCAAAGAAAGAACAAATGAGTTGGGACACAATACAGAGATGAAAATAAACAGGTTTATAATTAAATGCACCAACACAGATGAATCTCACAAATATAACACTGAGTGAAAGAAGTGAGGTTAAAAGGGTATATACTACATGATTCTACTTATATAAAGAAAAAAATAGGCAAAATGAAAAACTAATCTATGCCCTTAAAAGCCAGGATACTGGTTATCCTTAAGAAGGGTGGGTAGTACCTGGAAAGGGACATTTTGAGGGACTTCCAGGGTTCTGATAATGTTCTGTTTTCAGATGTGGATATAGGTTAGATGGGTGAATTCACCTTGTGAAAATTCAGTGATTTGTATACTTATGTAATTTTTGTACATATGTAATATTTCAGTAGAGTTCATAAATATATAAACAACTACAATATCTATATATCTATATCAGTATAAAAGTAAATCCAATACATGTCAAATTATTTTGTTTTAGTTAAATTGTGCTTTTGAAACTCTATGCCCATGATATTTTGCATTGACAAATTAATAAAATTATTAAAAGTAGAAGTTTTTTTTTATTTTTTCATTTTTATTTAGCTGTACCAAAATAAGCACAAAAATAGAACTTTGGTTTGAGTAACATTCTCAATGAATCATGGCAGCATTTGGAATAAAAGATTGTGGAAATAGATCAATGTCATCAGAAAAATTTAAATAGAACTTTTTAATGGGCACTTATGAACACCTGCTTCTTTTATTGAGCATCACAAATTTAATTAATTGAGAATAAGCCTGTATTCTCTCACAATTTATAGTTTCATAATGTGATAAATTAAGCTGGACTCCCAATTTTATTGTACTGTATTAAATTTATCAAAGAATTTTTATCTTCAGTGTGTTCTAAAATAGACTTAACTATCTTTTCCATCCTCAACCCCAAAACTACAGCAACAGAATTACTCCTTTAAATACAATAGTAGTCTTTGGTCAGGAAAGAAACAAAATAAAAGACCACAGAGTATAAGGTAACTGGCATGCACAGTCCCTCAGAAGAGATTCCCTGACAGAATTTGTAAAAGTTTCAGTAAATGAGAGGTTTTTCTGTCCATGTGATAAGGCTCCTTTCAAAAATCTGCTCAGTTTTTTTAAAGCTATTTATTTAAATGAACCCTTCTTTTTTCAAAGATTTTATTTATTTATCTCTGGAGGGGAAGGAGAGAGGGAGAGAAACATTGATGTACGGTTGCCTCTAATGTGTCCCCTGCTGGGATCTGACCTGTAACCCAGGCATGTGCCCTGACTGGGAATCAAACCCTGATTCTCTGGTTCCCAGACCTGTGCTCAATCCACTGAGGTACACACTAGCCAGGGGAAAAATCTCCTCAGTTTAATTTAAAAAGCTGATCTTTATTTTCCTTCATTCTCTTAACTTAGCAAAACATTAAATAAAGAAGATGTACAAGAACTTTCCAAATACTTTCCTTCAGATATAGCAATTTCAGTGATGCCATAAAATCATGCTTCCGTGTTTACTTCAGATAAATAATGTTTTAAAAACACTGCAAGAGAGATCCCAATAGCAAGGTGTATCAATAAAAATGACTATTGGAGTTCATGCCATAAGTTACATAAGCCCGACAGCATCATATACAGCTAAACTATTCATTCTGAGAACTTCCCTTCACACACAGAAAAGCTCCACACCAAAAAGTAAAAGGGAGCTCCCGCCAGGTGGTTTAGTTGGTTGGAGCATCATCCCATAATACATCAAAAGGTTGTGGGTTCCATCCCTGGTCAAGGCACATACCTAAGCTATAGGTTCAAATCCTCGGTCGGGGCACATACAGAAGGCAATTGATCAATGTCTGTCTGTCTGTCTCTCTCTCTTCCACCACATCTTGTAATTCTCCCCTTCTCCCTTCCTCCCTCCCTCCCCTCTTCTCTCTCCAAAAGCAATAAGCATGTCCTCAGATGAGGATAAAAAAATAATTTTTAAGTAAAATGGATATGGACATATTTTTAAGTGCAATGAGCAATTCCTATGCAACTGCTGCCCACCATGTAGGAGAAAGAACTGTCAGCTGTATTTCAAGACACAGGACACTCAGTGAGATTTTCATCCTGTCAATACTTTCCTAGGTCGAACCACTCAGGGAATGTCAAGGGCTTCACAGGCCATGCACTCCTAGACAGAAAGCAACTCCAGAGAGACGGAGCACTTTGCATTCAAAGAAAACTGATTTTTTTAATGATACAATTAAGATATCTATTCATAGGTTAGGAAAATGGAAAGAAATGTATCTTTTTTTTATCTCTAACTCCTATCTTACTCAAACACTTTGAAAAGCTATCTGATTTTCTTCTAAGAGTGACCTTTCATTACAAGAGTAAGCCTGTAAGAAGCTAACTCACACTATTCGTCAAGAATGTAACTCTGTACGTATGTCAAACAGACTGTAAGGAAGCTTTACTGTGAAAACACAAAGGACAAGGCTCCTCCCTAAAAGGACCTGAAGTGAGGCTGTTTCAACAATCAACCAAGGCCCCAAGGAATATCATCTCAACCAGACACTAGCATGACACACATGTCACTCTATCACCATAACGCCCACCTCTGTAGAAGGCAATACAAAATAATAGCTCAGCGCCAGCTGGTATGGATCAGTGGATGGAGTGCCAGCCTGCAAACGAAAAGGTCGCTCCTTCGATTCCCAGTCAGGGCACATGCCTGGACTGCCGGGCAGGTCCCCGGTAGGAGGCATGTGAGAGGTAACTACACATCGATGTCTCCTTCTCTCCCTCCTTTCCCTCTTTAAAAATAAATTAATAAAATATTTTTAAAAATAAAATAAATAAAAGCTCAGAAAGGTATTCAAAGTAGTCCTTCCTTCTGTTAAAACACATTTTCAAATCACAACATGCACAAATAAAATTTTAAATATAACTCCAATCATCTAAATTTCCTTCTACTACTGGAGATTATGCTACTAATCCTACTGCATGCTAAATTTCCATCTGTAATTGGTAACTATGAGATAATCATTTCAAATTTAGTGAATAAAATCTTACGCGTGGAGCACATAATAAATGTAAAGGCCAATAAGAGGGTGCTGTAGAAGAGACCAGCTAACTCATTCAAGCTTTACTTAGCACTTATTTACTCAAATCAGTACAGTAAGTGAGATAACCGTCTCATTAAGGTCTAGAAATAGATGCCATTACTACTCAAAGAGAGTATCCATAACCCTCAGAAAAACCCAACCTGACTCCCTTGAGCAAGCAGTGTTTTCAGTCTGGCTATTTCAGCTCGCAGCTCACGGATGAGTTTGACGTTGGCGTCCTCATTAATGGTAGGCTTGTTGATGATATTTTTGGCTCTATTTGCATAGCGAAGAGTACTTAGGGTTTCTCCATAATTGACATCAGCAGGTGAAATGGCTGTGAAGAATGAATTCGAAAAATAATTTATCCAGCACTCCGTGTTTCACTTGACACAAAGCTGGTTTGCAATTTAAAAGTCAGATCAACCCCAGGTCATTGGATATACTCAATATTCATTGCCACAGTAATGAATGTTAAAAATTATCTAAGGTTTATAGGAAAGGTGCTCACTATACTAAATTAAATGTCATTTTGCCTGTCTTAAGTGTAGATTCAGCCATCTAAACAACTCTAAAATAAGATATGAGATATTCATTGTAGTTTAGGGAGCTTTCCCTCTTAAAAATATAGGAGGAAGAGGAATTCAAGGCTATGGTAGTCCCCCTTATACATGAGGTATATGTTCAAGCCCCCCAGTGGATGCCTGAAAGCAGTAATAGTTTCAAACCCCAATCAACTCCTTCAACTCTGCTGGAGACATGGCAGCAGCTTTTTCATAGGTTGACACAGATTCTTCAGTCATTTTTGTAGAGTTTAGTCCAAACCTGTTTGTGTAACTATCCCTTACTTGAAGTAAACAGCTGGTGTCACTCGTTTCAGGGTACATTTTGCTGAAGTCTGTATATAGTCTCAATGTTTTCTGGTGCAACATGTTCCCACTGATTCAAACACATTTGCTGTTCATGTCTTCCAGCCACAACTGTAATTCCTTTTCCATCTTAACTATATACTTATCACACACAATGGCCGTAACTTTTGTAATTTGAGTGCAAAAGCAAAAGTAGCATGGATTTCTTTTTCTTTCTTCACAATTTCATGGACACAAGGAATATCCATTCTTATGAGGTTAGACATTAGCAACCTCAGCATACAGTTCACTTTCTTGTTAAGAACTTTCACCTTTTCACTTAAAAGAAGTACTTTATGAAGTCTACCTGGTATGCCCAAATTACCAGCCTCAGTACACTTGCACTTTGGGGAGTCATTAAGTAAAATGAGGGCTACTTGAACACAGGCACTGTGATACCAGGACAGTTGATGTGATAACCAAGATGGCTACTAAGTGACTAGCAGGCAGGTAGCGTGTGCAGTGTGGAGCTGCGAGATGAAGGCTTGATTCACATCTTCAGTGAGACTGAGTGGGATGGTGTTGGATTTCAGCACGCTATTCAGAATACTGTGCAATTTTAAACTTAGGAATTGTTTATTTCTGGAGTTTTTCCATTTAAGATATTCAGACTAAAGTTGACCACAAGTAACTGAAAACACAGAGAGCAAAACTGTGCATCACGAGGGAGTATTATATTTGTACTTCTCAATATTAAGCAGAAATTAAAAATTTTTTAAAGTTCTGGAAAAATCCAGAGCATGAAAATTTTTGAAACAGTCAGTGTACCAGTTAATTCTTTCCCTCATAAAGCTGTGGTTAATTATGCCCCCACCTCACCACAAACTTTAGAATTTAGGTGGCTCCACAGTTGTGTCCGTGGCACATGCCCCAGGGGGGATCCTCTGCTGAGCTAATATGTAACTGGTGACAGGGGAAGGGAAAAGGAGAGCAGGGGAAGAAAACTAGGGTTAGGAGGGAAACAGTTTTTGGTTTCTCCTTAAATAGTTATCTTCTCTTTGTACATTTTTCGCTACTCTCCTTCTTTCATTTAATTAGTGAAGACATACAAGTATATTACTGTTACTATTTGTTATATTTATTGGGTCTTTTCCCGCTTGGTTCTTATTAAATTCCACATTCATTGGTTTATAATAAAAGGAAAAGTGGGGTTATTTTTACTTTATGTTCCTATAATGATTTTTATGCTATGAGTTAGTGGAGTTAAACGTTTCTATCTCATACTGCAAGCAGAGAAAACCTGAGACTCATTCTACATGAATCCCAGGTTGCATAACCATGAACATGGCAAGATTATGGACATTGTAAGAGGAAAAAAGGGTGATACGATACTGTGGACTACAATAGTAAGTGGTTTTCTATATGATAGAAAAACTTATTTTTTAACATAAAAAGACACTATTTCCTAACCTGGCTGGTGTGGCTCAGTGGAATGAGCACCGGCCTGCAAACCGAAAGGTCGCCAGTTCGATTTCCAGTCAGGGCACACGCCTGGGTTGCAGGCCAGGTCCCTGCTGCAGGCATTTGAGAGACAACCAATCAATGTATCTCTTGAACACTGATGTTTTTTGCCTCTGTTTCTCCCTTTCTTCCCCTCTCTTTAAAAGTAAATAAATAAAACCTTTTTTTAAAAGATGCTATTTCCTAATGAGACTCTTTAAACTTAAATGTTTGCAATTAATTCACATGAAACACTGTGTTGAAGAAAAGAACTTAAAATTCTTACTGGCAATCATGATAGTTTTAGAGTTTCCTCCAAGGCTATCTTTCAACAACCAAGTCAAAACAGAATCCCTGTAAGGCACAAAAACTTGCTTCTTCTTTACAAAAGGGTTTACTGCATCCTGAGATAAATCAGCTGCAGAGAAGAAAAAAAGACAATTATTAAAGTTCTTTTCCTCTAATTTGACTTCAGAAAACCTTGAGGATATAACCTCAGTCTGTAACACAAACATAATTGCTCTGCGCCATTATGGACCACAAAAGACCACAGGACCAAAGAATAAGAGGAGACAGGAGACAAATATAAACCTACCTAAGGCAGAAATGACATTTCCCAGAGTCACGAGGGATTTGTTAATATTGCCCCCTTCCTTCAGTCTCACCCCGGTGGCACCAGTGGCATCGGCACGCTCACTTCCCGCAAGATCCACTAAGTGGATCTTACTCACGGTTTCACATGGCATTTCGGAATCAAATTTTGCCTATAGCAAGACATAAAAGGAAAATTGAACAGATATACACAGTTCTGATATTGTTTATGATACAAATTCTAATTATTTTGCACTCCTCATTATGATCTCTCAGCATGGGATTTTTTTTTTTAATTTGGTTGTTTCATTGGCCTTCTCACTGATTATAAAAATTCCCCAAATTAAACTGAATACATATGTGGTTGTTAAATTTTCTGAAGAACTATTCCATTATTCAAATCATTCAGTGTTTCTCAACAAAGGCTCACTGAGTCTGACTGCAGAACAGAAACCTAGGCACTGAGGGGCCCTCAACAAAGAAAAATATAAGGAAACAAGTAATTAGTTTTGTTTTCATCTAGAATCTTCAGCATTCCAAACACAATGGCTCCCCAAAAGATGATAAATGTAGACAACTATATAAAAGATCATTCAACCACTATTTGATATTACAATGTTCGCAAATTATAAAAAAGTAATCATCTTAAATACTGTATTCCTTGGTTCTGAATTCTACCAAAAATTCTTTCCCAAAGACTTTTAATCTACATTTTACAGTATGAACCAAAATACCAAAAGAAAAGTACCATATTTTGACAGAAATGTAAGTCCCTTAGAAATTAGGGACGGCTATATGCTACTCACATTAATCAGAAAGGAGAAAAACCGGCAGAGTAAATCAAGAGCAAGGTCTGGGAAAAGGTAAAGATGAGGAGAATTTTTATCAACTGACCTTAGAGAATTTTTTTCATTTTTCGTTTTTTTGCTCTCTGATCCCCTTATTAAGAAAATATAACCTTTTTTCTATGTGATGTGCTCAGTGGTTAATATAAGCCAGGACATCCCCAAACTCCTAACATATTATTAAGCCATGAGAGGACCCTACATTTTTGTATTCATCTGTTCCACTAGCCTAGGTATTAAAATATTTACCTTCAATAATTTCCAGACATGCAAAATGCCCTCCACCCCTTGATTAGAATTATTCTTGTATTAGTCTTTAAAAATGTTGGTTGTCCTTTAATATCATTCCAATAATCATAGTCAATAATCACACTCACTGCGGAGTGAGCTCCATGGAGCGATAATACACTGCAACCAATCACTTACCTTGGCCTCCAGCTGTTCTGACTTACAATCCCTTTCTCCCACAGAGCTTGCAACAATGAAAACTTTTGCTTAATTAAGCACAAAGCAAGATTTTTCATGTCCTGAACAGGGCAGAAGCCTGCTAAACATCTCTTAAGAGTACATACACATCAGGGCATTTCAAATTACTGTGATTGTAACCACAACAGAGCACATGTTCAACTCTCATTAACAAGAAAATGACAGTCAGTCACCTTTGCCTGCTGCTGCTCCTGGTTCAGCAATGATGAGTCCTCAGCTGGTGCTAATCAGCAAGTAAAGACCTCAGGGATGGAGCCAGCCATTCCCCAAATCTGCCCTTACCTGAGTGAACTTGATGGTGAAGATGGCATGAGACCTACTACTGACGTCATTCATCCCAGTCGCTGCAGTGGTACGATTGATATTTCCTGCATCCATAAGTTCTTCTACATCACTATAATTCTGTACTAAATGTTTGGACAAATCTGAAAAAAAAAGGGGGGGGGTGAGGAAATCTTCTTAACATATAGTAAATGGAATAAGAAACTTACCTCTATGAGATAATACACGACTGGACAAAGATCTTACATGTTCCTATAGAGGGGTGGTTAATAACTCGCTGGGAGCTGGGCCTCCTGGGGTCAGATCCCAGCTCTGTGGCTTACCAAGTCACATAGCCCACCACACCTCAGTCACTTCATCTAAATAATGCATGCCTAACGTGGGGATAAATGCTAACCATTCTCATCAGTCTCATTAGCTTCAGTCATAGCACACAGAAGGAAAATGTAAACACTGAGCTCAGGCAACACTGCAAAAGCATTTTTTAAATCCTCTTTAAAAACTTTTCATTCATTTTCTTGGGAACATTCACATAGTTCCAAAGTCAAATACTACAAAATGTGTAAAAAGTGTCCCCCTCCCCCTGCCCTACCACCCACTCCTCCTATCCCCCCGTCAGGCAACCCAATGTCACCACGTCCCCCATGCCCTTCTAGAAAGAACATGTACGTATACAAAAATTACATGTTAAAAATCTTTCCCCCTTTCACATAAATGGCGGCATACCAAAAACAGTTTTACATCCTGCTTTTTCCTATGTAATAATGATTTAAGAATACTCTGTACCAGTTAAGGTGATTCCTCATTTATTTTTATAGCTGCAGAGCATTCAACTGTCTGAATACACCATAACCAATTTACCCACTGCCTATTGGGATTATAGAGGTTGTATACATTTTGTTTCCAATTACAAAGAACACTACTATAAATAATATTGTACATAGGTCTTTTCAAATGTGTGTAAATATTTATGCAGAATAAATTCTTAAGAGGTGGAATAGCCTGATGAAGCACTTTTGAAATTTTGAGAGATAATGTAAGAGTTGTTCTCCACAGAGGGCAATTAAGACCCAGCAACAGTATATAATCCTGCCTGTCTCCTAACACTGTCCTGTCAGGCTTACTTACATACGCCGGAGATGGTAACAAATGTAATCTTAAAGAATTTTTATTTTACTTTTCCCTATGAATGAGGCTAAATGTTCTTTCCTCCATTTAAAAATTACCCATATTTCTATTTCTATGAACAGTGTGTTGACATCCTTTGTTCATTTTTCTACTCAGTTGCAGGACCTCTCCTTATGGATTTATAGAAGCTCTTCATATACAGTAAGAAAATTAGTCCTTTGTCTGAAACTTGAATTGAAAACATTTTCCCCGTGTATAGGTTGTCTTTTTACTTTGCTTATGGTTTTTCTGCCAAGTATAAAGTTATTTTTTCCCACTTCAAATTTAACACATTTATTTCATGGTTTCTAGTTGTAAGTCAAATTTCTTAAAGCTTTCCCTTCTCCAAACTTCTGCAAATAAGTAACTTAATAACTCATGTTCCCCTGATGTTTGAATAGCAAATTTATTAGAAACTAAATCCCCATGTGTACCTACATCAGATTCTGGATGTTTTACCCAGTTTGATTATTCTGTCTCTTCATAAACCAGAGTTATAACATGTTTAACATCTGATAAGACAATTAAAGGGAAAACATGAAAGCACAGTTAGGCTAAATCTATTAACAATAATAGCTGTTACAAACCCCATGAAAGAAATACATAATCACACACCTTACTTTGGGTATAAAAGGCAAAAGTTCAATTGGCAATTTAATAAAATGCAGAATGGGACACCTGATAGCTGCAGGTAAAAAGAATAACCATAACAGGAACATCTTTCAACCCACAACCAGTTCTCAGTCTTGCCTCCAAAGAGACACACACAAAAGACCATCACACACAAGCACATTCATGTATATGATTCCTACGAGCCAGCCATTACTTGGCTGCCTTATTCAGAATAAGTGAGGATAGTTTTTTTAATAAAAAGCACCTTAAATCCAGTCTATTTTTAAAATAATTAGCACAGGCCATCCCATTACTCATCTATACTTGTGATTCCACACAACTGATTGTAACATAGCTAACTGAAAACAAATACTAAGAACCACAGCACAGGCTACTCTGCAAATGACCTTCTCAAAAGGTGAGACAACTTAGAATCTCCTTATGGTCATGCATTACCATTAGTGTGAGTAAAAATATACAGCTAAAATGCAACGCCATTTAAAAGGATAGGTTATAAGGTTGCTTATCTTTCCCAAGAACACTGGAAAACAAATTACCAGAGAGTTCTTAAAGTCAGAGGAAATCTATCAGCAAGCCCCAGGAAATGAGTGAATGCACTGTGAAATATAAATTCATTAAATAAATATTGAAGAGGTAAACATAGATTACCTCCTTGCACAACCACTGCAAAAATTACAACTAGACTACAAAACAACTATCAGCCACAATCATCAGAAAATCAAGCTGTATGAAAGTCCAACAACCAAGGAATTTAAAAAGTCACATTCATCCAGACAGATAGAAAGGACGGAGATGTGCAGACACCATATGAGTGATCCCACACCCACATGTGGTGGGTAAAAATCAGGAAAAATAACCTTGGGAATGAGGGATCACAGGCCCACAACAGACCACCCAGCCCAGGGTTCCAGCGTCAAGAAGATAAGTTCCCATTACTTCTGAATGTAAAAACCATTGGTGGGGAGGCAGAAGGAACTGCACAATTCTCTGGTGTCTCCTCCTAAAGGGCCCACAACAAATTTAAGACTTCTGCAGAATCACTCCCTCTGGGATCTTGCACTGGGGCAACAGCTAGAAGAGCACCAGTGACACCCAGTGACACAAAGTGAGTACCAAATGACAGCTCCCTCCCAGACAAAACTGCAGAAGCCAGGCAGCAGCATTTTTCCCTTTCTGAGCCCTTCTCCACTCAGAGCCACAGAGCACTGACACCCTATCTGTAACTCCACTAACATGGTTCACACTGGGTGCCCCACCCTGGTGATTACCCAAGGCTCCACCCGATCCAACTTACCAGCACACTTTTCTATAATAGGCCATACCACTAAGATAGCAGCTCTACCTAATACCTAGAAACAAACAACAGGGAGGCTGCCAAAATGAGGAGACAAAGAAACATGGCCCAAATAAAACAACAGAACAAAACTCCAGAAAAAGAGCTAAACAAAATGGAGATAAGCAATCTATCAGATGCAGACTTCAAAACAGTGGTATCAGGATGCTCAAGGACCTCATTGGGTACTTCAATATCATAAAAAAAGACCTAGGCAGAAATTAAGGTTACACACACTAAGTGAAATAAAGAAAAATTTACAGGGAACCAACAGTGCAGTGGATGAAGCCAAGAATCAAATCAATGATCTCAAACATGAGGAAGAAAAAGACATTGAATCAGAACAGTGAGAAGATAAAAGATTTTAAAGACATAAGGATAGGGTATAGAACCTCTGGGAAAACTTCAAACATACCAACATTCTAATCAAAAGAGTACCAGAAGGAAACAAAAAAGAGCAAGAAATTGGAAATGTATTTAAAAAATAATAATGAAATAAAACTTCCCTCTTTGGTGAAAGATATAGGCATTCAAGTTCAGGAAGCACAGAGTCCCAAACAAGATGGACACAAAGAGGGCCACACCAAGATACATCATAATTAAAATGCTAAAGGTTAAAGATAAAGAGAATCTTAAGCAGAAGGAGAAAAGCAGAGAATTACCTACAAAGGAGTTCCCATGTGACTGACAGCTAATTTCTCAAAATAAACTTTTCAGGCAAGAAGAGACTTGCAAGAAGTATTCAAAATGATGAAAAGCAAGAACCTACAACCTAAATTACTCTATCCAGCAAAGCTATCATTTAGAATGGAAGGGCAGATAAAGTGCTTCCCAGACAAGGTAAAGCTATAGGAGTTCATCATTCACCAAGCCCCTATTATATGAAATGTTAAAGGAACTTATTTAAGAAAAAGAAAATCAAAGCCATGAATATTAGCATGGCAATGAATTCACAACTATCAACAACTGAATCTAAAAAACTAAGTAAACAAGCAGAACTGAAACACAATCATAGATATGGAGATCATTTGGACAATTATCCATTCGGAGAGGGGAGGGGGAGAATGGGGGAAAGGTACCAGGATTAAGAAGTACAAATTGGTAGGTACAAAATAGACAGGGGGATGATAAGAACAGTATAGGAACTGAAGTCGCCAAATAACTTATATGCATGACCCACGGACGTGAAGTAAGCAGAAACTGCTGGAGGGAATGGGGGCTACTGGGTGGAAGGGGCAAAGGAGCAAAACTGGGACAACTGTAGTAGTGTAATCAGTAAAATATACTATTAAAAATATTGTGTAGCAACAGACATCATTTTTACAATAATCAACTGTCAAAAAATTAAAAATTAAAGTCTATTATTCTTTTTTCCCTCAAAACTATTATTTTTGCACAAATTCCCAATATGAATAGGGTTTCAAAATATTCACTCTTACCCTCAACATATGGTCCTTCTTTTGGATGCTCACGGACTCTTAAGTTGAAGGTTTTGGATGACTTCCGCCTAAGTAGATCTCTCACACGTTCATTATAAATTTCTAAGTAGCTAAAAATGTTAAATAAAATTGAAATCACAGAAATTATTTTAGATATTAAAAATAACAACAGCAACATACATTAATAGTTGGTAACTATGCATCAAGTACTTTGCTAAGCACTCTACGTGGAATATTTCATTTAATACTGACAATGACCCAAAAGGTAAGTGCTAAAATTATTCCCATTTTATAGGTTAGGCAATGGAGGATTAGGGTGATTTAAACAATTTGTCAAAGGCCATACAGCTACTAAGAGGTCAAGTAGTCATGAGAACTCTTAATTGCTTTATCTGTCCTCAAAACCCCTGAAGAAGTGGGCTCCCAGAAACATTTCAATTCAAGGAGAAAAAAACACTTCAACTATCCAGATTTATTTAAAAGTCAGATTGATAATGATGCCACCAACATAAAGAAAAATACAAACTTTATTCAGCTAAAAGAAGAAGGTAAGTAAACTGGGTATACACTTAAAAGTCAAATGCTCACTCCATTTCAGCAAAACATCAAAAATTTGTGTTTCTGACCAATCTGGGTTATTTTCACCAGCCTCCCAAGTCCTAATTCAAATTGTACCCAAGAAAGTCATAGAAAACAAGTGTTTTTAAAGCTTTTATGCCCAAATACCATAGTTCAGGAAGGTTCCCCTCAGGAACCCAAAGGCTTTATGCACTTCAGGCACCTAAAAGCGAGTTCCAGCCAAGCTCACACTCACTCCAGCCGTGGACCCTACCTGACTTCAGTTCGAAAAGATGCCTCATCCCATCTGGTGGTTTCATTTATTCGACTAAAGAGCCCTTCACATATCCGAGGTATTAAACCAGAATCACCCTGCAGTGGGAAAGAGGAATGGCAACAGCTGTCACGAAACAAAAGCAACTGGTGGTTAAATAGGTAGTTTGCTTCAGGGGCCTGCAGGCCAATCCCAAGCCCAACACACACTACTTACCACTGCTTCCTACCCTCTCAAATAAGAGGATTGAGCTTTCTAATTTCTACACACTGAAATTGTGGTAATACATGGCTATCAGCTGCTAATCAGTTAAATCTTGGCTTGAAAACATAAGAAAACTTATTCTCTAACTTTCAAACAAGACAGTCTACAGCTATAGAATGAATGCTAAAAATATGATCTAGTCGAATGACCAGAGAAGGTAAAATGGACACAGGACAGAAAAGAAACACCAAGGAAACCTTAGTAAATCCCCAAAATAGCTAATAATTATCTTAAAACTTAGGTGGCAGAACCACATTAAAACATGTAAGCTATCCCTCCTTTGATACATTAATCACTACCTGGCCTTCCTAGACAGGAAGTGCTTTATGTGTTATATTACTTATACAACATGCACACAATCAGTAATTTTCATATTTCCGTCAGCGTTAACAAGCTGATGAACGTCAGAACGACACAACAGAAGAGGCAAAATGTTCTTAGGAAACTGAAACTTCAAAGCCTCAATGTTTGCTTCTAAAGTCTGTCCTCATGTTCACTCAGTCCCACACCCAAAAATTAAAAGAAATACCATCACAGCTTTAACAGTTTTTTTTCTTTATACCATGAAATATGTACCTATTCTTATCAAGAAAAAGTAAGCCTTTCACCATGCATTTTGTTCTTTAAAAAATATTTTTGAAAAACATCACAAATACTACCCAACTGTAAGGTCAGAGCAAACAGCAACAATTTAAGAGTGCTTTAAGCCCTGGCTGGTGTAGCTCAGTGGACTGGGTGTGGGCCTAAGAACCAAACAACTGCCATTCAATTCCCAGTCAGGGCACATGCCTGGGTTGCAGGCCAGTTCCCAGCAGGGGGCGCATGAGAAGCAACTATGCACTGATATTTCTCTCCCTCTCTCCTTCCCTTCCCCTCTAAAGATAAATAAATAAAATCTTAAAAAAAAAAAAGTGCTTTATACATGTGTAACTCAGAAAAAATAGCTCCAGGGTAATTTAACTTTCAGATAAGGCTGTTGTTTTCCCCCAAAAAGGCACAGTAGGAGAGTAGGAAGAGAAACATAATGATAAAAGAAAATGCATCTGTTTGCTCTATAAATTTATTCTTCCTCACTTTTCAGCACTGAGGCCTCTCTCATACAACACCTTTCTACTAATCACATCAAGGAAACACCTGGAGTTAGAAGCCAGTACACGTGCACTGAAATGCTTTCATCTGGAGTAATCAAGCCTCCTTTACTGCACAGGTGCCGCCGAACCCTTAGCGCTGAAGGCACCACTGTGCTCGCCAGCAAGAAGCTTGCAATCTGCCTCTACTATTTCCATCCAGAATGTAACACAAGTACAAGAATCAGTGAACAGGTTTCACCACAACATAAAAAAAAGTGAAACACACAGCACCATCCAGATCTGGAGAAAACAGAGATGAAATAAAGCTCTGGCAAAAAATGCCTAGTTTTTACTCCTCATATTTGGAGGCACATATAACTTAAAGGTCTCTTAATTTATACAGCATAACTACTAAACTCTATGTCCTATGTTTATAGCCATACACAAGCTATACAAACTATAATTCTAACCCTTTTTATGTATTTGTTGAACTTCTGTAGTACATTTCTACCAAAAAGAATTTTTTTACATTTTTTCTTAAGGAAAAATGTTTTGAATAATTTTAAATTGAAGAGAGTTCAGTAATTTTATTCAAACTGTTGTGCTGGCAGAAAAGAAGAATAAATTACTTGAGTGCCCAGCATACATTCTGGATAAGATTATAGAGCCTTTAAAAAGAGAAAATGAACTGAAACTTGCATCCATTATTCAGTCTTATAAACTTAAAACTGTTTCTAATATAAAATCTCTCAAATGAAATTTAGTCCAACCTATTACTGAGTTTTATCTTATTGCAAAAGAATGATCAGATCATGAAAAACAAGTTGGTACAGAAAAGAAGATAACACAGACAATTTTATCAGTTTAAAGAGAGATAATGAAAAATTTTCTTCCCACAGTGTGTAAACAACATACAGAATTTCCCATCATAGTGTATGACTTTCCCGATCCAGTCTGTCCATATGCAAAGACACAAGCATTATAACCTTCAAATGCGGACTTCACAACATCTGTCCCAAGGGTTTTGAAAACCTGAAAGCCAAAAAGAGAAAAAAAGATACAATTACCACAGATTTAAATAAAAGTCCCTTCAGTGTTGACAATATCTTGAATGCTACTTTTATCTCATAAGGATTACACTACTTTAATAAATCACTGCAGGACCATTAACAATAGAGTGTATGTGATTTTTTGTGTGTGTATATATATACACACACATATAATATATATATATTCCCAGGTTTATAAAAAGGAAACTTTTTAAACAAGCAAAAAGCAACTTTTATCCTTTTTCCTACTTACATTAACAAAAATTCCTTAAATATAAAAATGTAAACAATGCAAAGTGACAATTATACACAGAAGCAAAGATGATTTTAAAGCATAATGATTTACGATTTTAGAAATAAACTTATAAAGTTATTCATTCTATCAGAGGTTCTGGAAACTAAATATTCAAAACCCAACAGTCACAGCAGCCAGAAGTTATTGCCCAAACCATGCCAAATCAATGCCATCATTTTTAGAGTCCGGCTATTCACCACAGTAAGTGCCTGAAGTAGATGCAGCAGCATGGCTGGACTCCCCAAAGTCAGAAGCCAGATGCCCTTTCCTACTTGGATATTTGCCCAAGATGGAGAGGATGTGCAGCCAAGCTGTGTGGGGCCTGTGCCCATGTCTGCTGCTCCACATAACTACAATGGGACGCTGAGGTAAAGCACAAATAGTTCCCCCAGACAACACAACTGATGCAAATGAAGCAAATCAAGATGAGGGGTCATCCTAGATACAGCCATCTGGGAAGGGGACCAAACAAAGCTTTCCAAATCCCCACAAGCCTTCGCGTCACCCCTGCCCTCTCAGCCTAGCATTCCAAGGGCACATAAAATCTCTCCCTGCTTTAAAACAAGACACATTGGGACTTCTGGCCAAGATGGAGGCATAGGTAGATATACTTTGCTTCCTCAAACAACCAAAAAAAAGGACACCAACAAATTTAAAAACAAAAAACAACCAGATCTGACAAAAAGTCAAACTGTATGGAAGTCCGACAACCAAGAAGTTAAAAAAGAAACATCCAAATAGACTGGTAGGAGGGGCAGAGACAGGCAGCCAGGGTGGAGAGGACTCACTGCGAGGTGGCGACTGGCTGGTAAGGGAGAGACTGATGGAGCAGGTGGTCCCACATTTGTGTGCAGGTGAACCGGAAGGAACGACTGGGGAGTGAGACAAAACACTCAACCCAGGGTTCCAGTGAGGGGAAATAAAGCCTCAGACCACCAATTGAAAACACCTGTGGGGGTTGAGGGGCCAGCAGGAGAAACTTCCAGTCTCACAGGAGGGTTCTTGGACAGACCCACAGGGTCCTAGAATGTACACAAAATCATCTACCCACGAATCAGCACCAGAAGGGCCCGATTTGCTTGTGGGTAGCAGAGGAAGTAACTGAAAGCTGGCACAGAGCTAAGCGAGTGGCATTGTTCACTCTTGGGCCCCTCCTCTACACATAGCACCACAACGCAGCTTCATGGTTGCTCCACCCTGGCGAATACATAAGGCTTCACCCCTTACTACAACAGGCATGCAGACACACAAAAATGTGGCCCAAATGAAATAACAGATCAAAGCTCCAGAAAAAATACACCTAAGCAACGAAGAGACAGCCAACCTATCAGATGCACAGTTCAAAACACTGGTAATCAGGATGACCACAGAAATGGTCCCAAGACAGAGGAAAAAGTGAAGGCTATGCAAAGAGAAGTAAAGGAAAATACACAGGGAACCAACAGTGAAGGGAAGGAAACCAGGACTCAAATCAACGGTGTGGACCAGAAGGAAAAAATAAACATTCAACCAGAACAAAATGAAGAAACAAGAATTCAAAACAATGAGGAGAGGCTTAGGAACCTCAGGGGAATCTTTAAACATTCCAACATCTGAATTATAGGGGTGCCAGAAGGAGAAAAGGAAGAGCAAGAAATTGAAAACTTATTTGAAAATATAATGAAGAAGAACTCTCCCAAGCTCGCAAAGGAAATAGCCTTTAAGGAAGTACAGGAAGCTCAGAGAGTCCCAAACAAGTTGGATCCAAGGAGAAACACACCAGGACACATTATAATTAAGTTACTCAAGATTAAAGATAAGGAGAGAATCTTAAAAGCAGCAAGAGAGGAAACAGTTACCTACAAAGGAGTTCCCATAAGACTATCAGGTGATTTCTTCAAAGAAACCTTACAGGCAAGAAGGAGCTGGATTTTCTCAGAAAACTAAAAATGGACCTGCCTTTTGACCCGGCAATTCCACTGCTAGGATTATATCCTAAAACCCTAAAACACCAATCTCAAAGAACCTATGCACCACAATATTTCTAGCAGCACAATTTACAATAGCCAAGAGTTGGAAGCAACCTAGGAGCCCGTCAGTAAATGAATGGATCAAAAAACTGTGGTACATATACACAATGGAATTCTATGCAGCAGAGAGAAAGAAGGAGCTACTGCCCTTTGCAACAGCATGGATGGAACTGGAAAGCATTATGCTGAGTGAAATAGGCCAGGAGTTGAAAGACAAATACCATATTATCTCACCTTTAACAGGAAGCTAAACAACAAAATAAACAAGGAAGCAGAAAAAAACAAAGACACTGAAATAGAAAACAAGGGGACAGTGACCAGAGGAGAGAGGGGAGAGAATTTAAGGGGAGAAAGGGGAGGGATTTAGAGGAACAAGTATAAAGTACACAGGGACAATAACTAAGGGGGGTGGAAATGGGAGGGAGGTGGGGAGCACGGGGTGGGGGGGGCTGGGATGGGAGAAATAGACAGAAAACTGTACTTGAAAAACTTATATAAAATGTTAAAGGGAATTACCTAAGAAAAAGAAGTTTAAAAAACATGAACAGTGAAAGGACAGCAAACTTACAGTTATTAACAACCACACCTAAAACAAAAGCAAACTAAAAGGACAGCTAGATCAGGAGTAGAAACATAGAAATGAAGATCTCAAGGAGGGTTAGCAACAGGGGAGTGGGAGAAGAAGGGAGGAGAAGGTACAGAAAATAAGTAGCATAGACGGTAGATAGAAAATAGATGGGGGGCAAGAATAGTGTGGGAAATATAGAATCTAAAGAACTTGAGACACATGGTCATAAACTAAAGGGGGGATAATGGTGGGGATAGGGGCATAGGGTGGAGGGGAATGAAGGGGGGAAATAAAACAACTGTAATGGCATAATCAATAAAAAAGAAAAAAAGAAAAATAATTAAATTAAAAATTTTTTTAATTAAAAAAAATTTTTTTAATAAAGAAGGTATGAAGAAGTAAAAAAAAAAAGAAGGGGCTGGAAAGAAGTATTCCAAGTCATGAAAGGCAAGGACCTATATTCAAGATTACTCTATCTAATATTACTTCCATTTAGAATGGAAGGGCAGATAAAGTGCTCCCCAGATTAGGTCAAGTTAAAGGAGTTCATCATCACCGAGCCCTTATTATATAAAATGTCTTTAAGGACTTATCTAAAGGACTTATCTAAGAAAAAGTAGATCAAAAATACAAACAGCAGTTCTGGCCAAAATGGAAGCATGGGTAGAAACCCTTCACTTCCTCGCACAACCGAAAGGAGGTAACCACCAATCTAAAACCAATAAACAACCAAAACAGCCAGAAAAACAAACTGCATGGAACTCGGACAACCAAAAAATTAAGAAAAAAATCTACCAGAATAACCAGATGGGTAAAGCGGACAGCAGGAGCCCGCTCAGAGAAACCTCGGAGAGGCGACTGGGGGGCGGGGCCGACCGCCAAGCTCAGAGGAGCTGCGTGGGAGCGGCTGACTTAAGGGGAAACCGTACCAGACTAAGAGCCATAGCCCCCCTGACAGATACTCCCAGGCTGACAGGAGAGTCTGTAGGAAAGTGCGCTGGAGATGAACAGGCCAGCTGAATTTTTCCCTCTGCCCGCCCCCACAACAGGAAACATAGCGAAGAGGGTTGCCTTGCCTGGGTGAATACCTAAGGTCTTGCCTTTTACAACTTAGCAGGAGTGCCAAGACAAAGAAATATGGCCCAAATGAAATAACACAGCAAAACCTCAGGACTAACCAATGAGGAGACTGCCGACCTATCTGATGAAGAATTTAAAGTCTTGGTAATCAAAATGCTCACAGAACTGATTGAGAGCTTGGTCGAGAAATGAAAGATACCCAAAATGAAATAAAGCAAAATATCCAGGGAACCAAAGAGCCTGTGCATCTAAAGGCCTAATAGCATGTTTCCTCTTCCCATACCCTCAACATCAACCACAAGGTCCCTATCCTACCTGGAAAGATCCCCTCCTCCCACTAACTCTTATGAAGAAGCAAAAGGTAGGGATCTCAGGGAGACTCAGGGCTCCAGACCACCCATTTTAGGTTCATTTTCACCACTACTCAAGGAAGATGAGGAAAAACTCTTCAATTCTCTCTGATTAAACAAAAGGTAACCATCATTTTAACCATTTCAGTCTAATAGATATGAAGAACAGCCTTCCATAAACTTGCCACAGAAAAAAGAAAGGAGTTTCCCTTATAGTTTTGTCTGGGATAAAACAGAGTCATGGAAAATATATTGGGTTGGACAAATTTGGGTTTTTTCCATATAATGGCTCCAGTAGTCCTTAGTTGTCTTTAACTTCATTCGAAACAATTTTGTTAGATTGTATTCTGACAGTTGTCATATCATCATGCATTAAAAAAAACACCAAAATTGGTGAACTTTTGTGCAGCCATTTTAATATTGAAGATGGAAGAAAATATGCAACACTTTCAATGTATTATGCTTTATTATTTCAAGAAAGGCAGAAACACAACTGAAACACACAAAAAAGATTTATGCAGTGTATGGAGAAGGTGCTATGACTGACTGAACATGTCAAAAGTGGTTTGCAAACTTTCTTGTACTATTGACATGGGGCCAAATGACTCTTTGCTGTGGGGCTGTCTTATGCATTGGAGGATGCACAGCAGCACCCCTGGACTCTGCCCACTAGAAGGCGAT